CAGCAATTTAGTTCTGATTGTATTTTTATTTTAATGTCAATAAATCAAAATAAAAGATTTAAAAAAAAAAGTCCTTTTCTATCTTCACAAAATGTTTGTAAACATAGATCTTTAGAGAGAATCTTCTATACTATGCTGGTGAACAGGGTATCTGCAGGTTTAAGGGAGCCATATTTAAGACCTTTTTTAAGGCCACATTGACCGAATTTAAGCTATAATTTCCAGCTATTGCCTGGAACCGGTGCTAACCGCTTCGCAAACGTGGGATTAGCCATCCAGTTACCATTAAACTTGCACTTCCCCATGGCGCAAGCTCCCACTAGCTTAACCAGCTAATGTGCTCATCTAAAAACAGCCCCCTTTCACAGCCAACTGAATGTGTACGGTTCCGCTTACGGCAACATCGTACACAAAAAATGCTGAACACTAACTAGAAATTCACGAAATTTTTATAGAAATAAAAGAATCTTGTTTATTGGGTCTTTGGTCATTTAAGACCTTTGGAAACTGTATTTAAGGATTATTTGTCATTTTTAAGGATTTTTAAGGCCTTAAATTTGGAAAAGCCAATTTAAGACTTTTTAAGGACCCGCGGATACCCTGGGTGAAGGTTCTCAGTCATCCAGGTCTTTGGATCATCTACACGAGCACCAACCCTGTACTTCCCTTCGCCTCTCCTCCAACACTCTTTAAATGCTCTACAGGGGCAGTCCAGAAGAGTGACTGAAATGGTTTTGAATTATAGCAGAAGCTTGGTGATGCTACTAAAAAGAAAGTGATTGAGGTTAAACTTGAATAGGGAACTTTGACCAAACTTTAACAGGGTTGTGTGTGGCTATTTGAGTCTGTCTGAATTATTTTTTAACCCTGTGAGGAAGAGAAAACGCAATAAATTCAAACTCGTGCATCCAAGTATTTAGTTCCGTTTGGAGTGTCGGGGAGGAATAACGTTAGTCCTACTTCACACTGGAAGCATCAGCAGAACGTCACTGCTTCAGATTAGAATCCAACAGTCCATGGGGATGATGGAAACCAGCCGTGACGCAAACATTTTCAGGCGTGCTCCAGAAGCGGAGCGCCACTCCACGCTGCTAAAGACAGAATCTGGTTCTATTTTTGTCACGAACCACTTCTCGGACACGACGATTTCCGTGATTAACTTAGTGCTGGACAGGAAATCACATATGGATTCAGTGTAAAACCCCTGGTAATTTACAAAATAAAAGACTATTGCAGAGATGCGATGTCACATCCATGTAGATGACGTCAATACAAGTGAGCTATTAACTTATTGACTCCCAGTTTTGTTTCAGAAGTGCAGTGGTGTGTTTTTCATGGCTTTAATCCTCGCAGTGGAGAGGAACAACATCACACATGATACCAAACACAATCTCCTTCTTTGTGATTAACGGCGGATGGCACAAACTCAAGAGATTCCCCGAGTCGAAAGTCGCGGGTAAACCGTTCCGCTGCTGTTTTGCGAAGCTGATGCTTCCAGCGAGAAGCAGGAGTCGGTCATTATTTCTACCAGGATGGAACGATTGATGGAGTAATCAGTCATTAAAAGCTCTAAACACGTGACATTTCGAGCGGATTTTAACTTAAACAAAGAGGCTAGATACTTTAGAGGAGGAAATAAACAAAGGTAATTGTTCTAATAAGATAAGGAAATGATGTAATCTTACCTCTTTGGATAAGCGAGTGAATACATCCCCTCCCCTGAGAAAGTCCAGAATTAAATACAGTTTCCCTTCTGTTTGAAAGGCTGAAAGTAAAGAAACAGGAGGACAGCAACAGTTGAACAGAGATGTTCCAGAACCATATTCCATAACTCAAGGACAGCAGTAGCTCAGAGGGTTGAGCAGGTTGTTCAGTTGCAGGTTTGATCCCAGCTCCGACCACAGAATGCTGCTGTTGTGTCCTTGGGCAAGACACTGAACCCGACGAGCCTGCTGGTGGTGCTCGGCAGCCTTGCCTCTACCAGGGCAGCTGTGGCTACATCGTAGCTCATCCCAACCAGCGTGTGAATGGGCAAATGACTGATAGTGTTGTGAAGCGCCATTTACCTGCTTCCTGGTAAACAAAATATGCTGATAATGGTTTCACTCACCGTAGTGCAATTTCACTATGAAGGGATGATTAACTTCCACTAAAATGTCTCGTTCCATCTTGGTCCGAACTCTGTCCCTGACTGGAGAGAGGGAAAGGAGCAGGAAGGATTAGAAACTCAAGAAAGTGGAGAAAACACTTAAAAATCTTGGTTTCATGCTGACGTACACGCCAAACGACCTCACGTTACCTTTCAAAGATGCTTTTTTTAATACTTTCATTGCATATAACTGACCAGCATCTGGACCCAGGATCTTCCTGACGAGAAACACCTGAGTGAACGAGACAAACATGTTTAGGACAGAAAAATCACCCGTTGTGTTTTTCTGATTCTCCTCACCTTGCCGAACGAGCCCTGACCGAGGACTTTGAGTAGCTCAAACTGAGACGGATCGGCTTTCTCACAGCCTTCTTTCACATGGTGGGTGATAGGAATCTCTTTATACGTCCCCTCGTCCTTCAACCGTGATATCGACACAAAATGAACACACAAAAGTGTCGGTTGTGCCATGTGCACCAGGAAAAACAACAAAACGCACAAGTGCAGCTTTACTTACACAGTTTGAAAAGGACTCTCCCTCCTCCATGGGCTCGTCCATGATCTGATGTCCATTGACCTGCAGCAAAACAAAGAAAAAAAACTATTTTGTGATCAGGCTTCAACAATAAACACTCTCCCAAAGCTTATTCATGCTTGTTTTTCGCTGAGCAGGACGATGACTGCAGCTGCTGCGCGCCCACATGCACGATGGAGGATTCAACAGATGAAATCAATGAGTCACATGCAACATGACTGGCTTTCACTTTTCCAACTGAGGATTACATTTGTTGTTATTAGACATTATGGAGTCCATACTTTAATCTTGTCCAGCTCTCCTCATGCACGTCCCCTCTCAGTATTAGCATTCTAGCTTAATCCCCAGCCGGTGCAGAAACAATCTCTCTGCTTACAGAATTCTGCCTCTTTGGGACCAAATGATGGTAGAAAAATGTGTTATTATAACAATGATCACATGCAAGTCTGTTTTTATTATTTATTAAACATATTTAAAAAATGAGTTTTAAGTAAAACTGTAAAAAATGCTACAATAATTATCAGTATGAACCAAAATATGATCCAAATCTGAGCGCTTCACTTTTTTGTGCCGAAGCTCAGCCTGCATCATGTATTCAGTCCGGTGTGTTTGTGTGTGTTGAAATCCATCAAGGCTCTGAAGAGAGAGAATGAGTCATAGGCAGCACTACGCAAGCCCACTCAGTGGGTGGAGCCACCAACATACACTTGCTTGCATCCACAGAAGAGAGGTCAACTCTCCAGCACCTTACCGCTGCACGATAACATCACACACACTCATATCTGTAAACATCCCAAAGCCCAATAAGACGGAGTACACATACAAAAGGAAAAACCTTCACGCATCAGTGGGAATCGTACCGTCTCAGGGCTGACCAGAGCCAGGGCAAACTAGTGTCAGAATTCACACATACATTTTCACTCCCACCCTTTGCTGTGGCTCATCACAGCTTGCAACTGAGCAGCCTACACTCACAGTGCACCCAGGCAAGTCTTTTTTCAGCCTTCTCAAAACATGTCTACGACAGTCATGCATGGAGGAATCCGACATGAGACTGTATGGACCAAACATGCCTGCCGATGCCGAAACTGGTTCAAAGTAGATCTGAACACAAGCGTAACCAATGATGGGGTTAGGAAGGTTAAAATGAAGAGTCTTGCAAAAATTAACATGCAGAAAATGGCAAGACATGGGAAACCTTAAAAAAAGTTAGATGTCAGCATCTGTCCAGTATTTTTAGAGAAATATGTAAACACTTATGTTTGTGAATTTTCAGCACAGAAACAGGATATAGGTTACGCTTAGAATGATTGCTAAAAGCATAAAGTGGCTTTGAACCACTAAGACCATGAAAACAAGAAAGTTTTGACCAGGTGCAGAAGGTTTGTTTTAAGTCTCAAAGATGAGGAACAAGTTTAAGATGTGACGCTGGCTCAGCTACACATGGGAAAAACACCTTTTATCTAAAGCACGTCTCCACAAAGTCCTTCCAAGATTGTTACAAGACTTTGTTTTTAACTTTGAGGAACAGAACTGAATTCCCACCTAAACCTGCAAGTAAAAATAAATAAAAGCTGCTCCACGAGGCTTTGTTATTGAGTGTTTAATACGAATTACACCAGTATGAGTCAACCGTTTTGGCCATAACATGTTAATCCATTCCAGGATGATTAAAGGTATGTTGAGTCAAGCTAGTTACTAATTAGTTATGGACAGCATCACTAATTTTAAAGTGCAGCTGCGGTCAGTTGTCTCGTGAACAAATTTAGCATAAGTGTAACTTTAAACACACACACAGACACACACACACGCACACACACACACTAGCGGCTTAGCTGTTTTTCCACATCTACCTTTAAGCCTTTCACTGGTTATTGTATTATCAATGTAGTGGATGTTTAATCAAAACTTGTCTCCCAAGTTTCGATCCTGCAACCAGGCAGCTAGCAAGCTAACGCATGCTAATGCTACGTGCTATGAAGTAAACTCCTCCTGGGCAACGCAAATAACAACAAAAGCGGAAATAAGCTAAATTGTCAATAAATAAGAGTCCAGCTCGTGTGTGGAATAAAACCCGGCGGTAACACTTCCAACACTCTGTTGCGAAATTAATTAAAAGTGGCATTAAACTAAAATAAACACAAAACCAGCTGTTAGCCGATGCTAGCGTGTTAGCATGCATCAACAGTGCGCTGCGGGTCGTGACGCGGAATTAAGCCTCGCAGCAAACTTAACGGGACGTCAGAACGCAAAACATAACCAGGGCTATATGATCCGTAAGCAAAGAAAGCATTTATCAACTCACCTCACTGCTAACGCTGTTAACCTCCATCTTGTGCCAAGATTCCGCTCTAAAGTCTCTAAAGTCTAAGACATCGTAGTCCACCTAGACCCCGCTCCACGTTGCATGTCCGTCTCCCTCTCTGCGTCTCTCTCCGTGGAAGTCCGGCTGTTTTGCTCTGACGCTCAGGTACTGACCGTTACCGGGAAGGGACGCGAGGAGGTCGGTGCGGGGGAACTGTTGATGTCACTGACTGGAACATATGCTCAACGAGAACACTGCTGCCCTGCCATTGATACGAATATGGCGGCTACCGTGGTACCTGACCGTCGGTGAATGAGTTTTATTGACGTATTTATGACGCAGCCCAGTTAAGGATTTCCCCCTTCCAAACCAACCAAAGCAGCGGATCTGCAGACAGAGGAAGGCGCGTGGACGTGCTGGCATGACGAGGGGCGACGAGCACGCTGTGAATGACACACTCGCATCCGGTGGATGGACCGTTTATCTGCGACGGAAATAGTAACTATCACAATATGAGAGGCGATGACTTCTAGAAGTTTACCCAATTTCAAACTTCAAACTCCAGTTGTGTCCATGTTGTTGTTTTTTTGTGAAGAGAAAGTTAATATCTGATTGATCTTAGAACAACCTTGGTTTGGAGAAACAGATTAGGTCATACATACATACATACATACATACATACATACATCATACATACATACATAGATACATACATATATATATGGCCCCAGTAGAGGACTTTTGCTCAAAGGTTTCGTGGCACCAGCAGCTGCAAGCGGTCCATCCCTCCTCCCGGTGCCTGCCAGCGCCAATACAGCATATCTCCATGCAGCTCCAAGCTGCCGAACTGTGAGTGCAGGTTCTTTAATTCAGCCCCACGTGAGGTTACGGCGGGCCACTCTGGTCTCCGGGCGTCCCGAACCCAGGTCCTCACCTCTGCCAGAGTTGGATCAGCCTCCTGCTGATCTTTTAGTTCCTCCATGGAGAACAACTCCCTCTCCTGTTCCTCGGTAGCTTCCACCGCTGCAGCCGACAGTTCTTGGTGCTCCTCCCTCGCTGCTGCTGGAACAGGCTCTGGTTCTTGCTCTTCCTGGCGGAGACACTCAGTCACTAAACATGGGCGCCTGGACAACGCGTCAGCATTCGCATGCTGGCGACCGGTGCGGTGCTGGATCTCAAAGTCATACTCCTGCAGAATCTCCAGCCACCTAGCCACCTGTCCCTCCAGCTGTTTAAAGTTCAATAGCCAGGTGAGGCTAGCATGATCAGTCCGAAGCTTGAACTTGGTACCTAGCAGGTACGGCCGGAAGTGTCTCACAGCCAAAACCACCGCTTGCAGCTCCCGCCTGGTGACGCAGTAGTTCCTCTCTCTCCGATTGAGACTGCGGCTATAATAAGACACAACTCTTTCTCCATCTTCACCTTTTTGGGAGAGCACGGCTCCCACTCCCACATTGCTAGTATCTCTATCTACAACAAACGGTTGGGCGGGGTCCGGATACGTCAGAACCGGCGCATCAACCAACGCCGTCTGGAGCTGGTGGAAAGCTGCAGTGCACTCCTCACTCCATTCGAACCGCCTGCCCTTCTTGACTAACCGATGCAGGGGGCTAGCCACAGTAGCAAATCCTTTCACAAAGCGGCGGTCGTAGGAGGCCAAACCCAGGAAGCTCAGCAGCTCTGAGACACTTCTTGGCACAGGCCATTCCTTCACAGCAACAACCTTAGCAGGGTCTGTTGTTACTCCCTGCTCACTGACGACATGGCCGAGGAAATGGGTCTGGCGAGTGAGCAGCATGCACTTAGCAGGATTTAACCGCAGCCCAGCCTTGCAAATGGTGACAAAAACCTCCCTCAGGTTGCAAACAGCGTGCTCAAAGTCTTTAGGATGCACGGGCGAGTCATCCAGATAAACCACACAGCGGTTGCGAGGAATCTTCTGCAGAACTCGTTCCATCAGTCTTTCAAAAGTAGCCGGGGCGTTGCATAACCCAAACGGCATCACCCGAAACTGCCACAGTCCCTGTCCAATCGTGAACGCCGTTTTGGGTTTAGCCTCCGGCGCCAGCTCCACCTGCCAATATCCACTGCGTAGATCCAAGGAACTGAACCAGCACCATCCAGCTACATGATCTAATGTGTCGTCAATGCGGGGCAGGGGTATGAGTCTTTCCGCGTCAAAGCATTAAGCCTCTGGTAATCCACCCAGGGACGCCGTCCACCCCCCTTCTTCACCATGATAACGGTCGCAGCCCAGGAGCTCTCTGATGGCTCAATGACCCCGTTAGCGGCCATGTCTCTGATTAATTCTTCTTCTGCTCAGCGTTTGGCTAATGGCAGGCGATGAGGCCGTACAGGAGCGGCGTCTCCTGTGTCGATGCAGTTTTGGACCAAGCTAGTCAGGGTGCAATCCTCTTCTCGAGCAGCAAAGATGTCTCCAAACTCTCGCAGTAATTGGCCCAACTGCTCTCGTTGCTCTGAGCTGAGGCATTCCCTGCTGCATTATTCCAATGCCTCCATGGTGACGGGGCCACAGTAGTAGGAACCGGCTTCAGTCCAACCTCCAGGCTTCCGTAGTCGTCTTCGAGCGACTGGGCGACTCTGGCTCCTCGTCGCTTCTCATGAGGGTCCCTCCCCTCCTGGAGAGGAATCCTCTCGGTATCCAGGCACAAAGCTGTTCCTCGGACATCAACACATGCGCTCCAGCGCGTTAATAAATCCAGCCCGATGATGCAATCATCTCAAATGGCAGCGATCCAGAACTCCTGCTCAGCTCGATGAGTTCCGACCACCACCGATAACAGTCCCTTTCCCGTCATTGTAGTTTTTCACCAGTCACGGTCAGCAGTGCGGTTTCGGTGGGACTCCAGCATACCGGGAGGGAACCCTCAGTCTCTGGCAGGAATCCCTTCCGGATCAGAGAGATGGTGGACCCCGTATCCACCAAGGCTCGGCATCGTTGTCCTCCGACAACACAGTCCAAATATAGCCCATGAAGTGGCCTGCAGTGGCTGACGGATGGCAGGTTAACTCCAAGGGGTGACGTTGCGCAAGGTGGGAGTCCCCTTACTGTCCCACCCCGCTGGCGTTTCCCGCAGCTTGCGGCCTCCGCGGCCCGGACCTGGGCCGAGGACTTGGGGCTGAGCAGTCTCTGGCTAGATGTCCCAGTTCCCCACAGTGGTAGCAGAGGCCGGTGGCTGGTCTCTGTCTTGGGGTCTGCTCGGGCCGGGCCTGGTTGACTTCTCTCCTCTCCTCCAGTGCCTCCTCTTGTTCAGCCGCTCTCGCCAGCGGCGATCACCCACACTGTCCAACAGGTATCACCTCCTCCGCTTGTTCAGCTCTCCTAAGCGCTTCAGCCAAGGTGATGGGGAAGGTCAATCTGACGTGTTGACGTAATGATTCTGGTGTTAGCCCTCGTAGGAATGCGTGCAGGCTTAACTCCTCTCTGGCAGCAGCCGGGAAATCAGGATAGCCCCGCCGAGCATACAGCTGTAGATCAGCCGCAAAAGCTCCCAAGCATTCTCCGTGTCCGCGTCGTCTGCCGCTCAGTTGTTCTCGGCTTTGCTCTCCTGAGGCTTGCTTCCCAAAGTGTCTGTTCAGTGCAGCTGTGATAGCTTGCCAATCGTGTCGCTCTTCCAATGCTAGGTCCACCAGGACCTGAAGTGTTCCTCCTTCCAAGGCCAGCGCCACCTGAACCGCTGTCTCCTGTTGGCTCCATCCTTCATGTAAAGCCGCCAGTTCTACTTGAGCGAGGAAGGGTGCAAGGGGTGTGGCGCAGCTGAATATTGGGAGTTTTACCGGTGTTCGATTGCCGCCGTCTCTCAGCGCCTTTGGTGCCGGGATTGTGGGCGCATCCGCTGAGCGCATCTCTCACAGGTGCCAAGCTAACGCCGATCACTGGTTCCATCCAGCTGGCGCGGTGTCCTCGCACTAGCGCCCAGCCGTAGTTGCTCTTCCAGCTTTCTGTTCTCTCTGTCAAGTCACTCGATCTCCTCGGCGAGTTGCTGCATCTTTTCTGTCTTTTTTGACAGCGCTAATCCCACTTCTGACACCAATGTAGCAGTCTGCGCCGCCCTCTAGCGGGGTGTGTGTGAAGCAGCAAACAAGAGTCGACAGGTAGCAGACATAGAACACTTCTAATAGCTGGATGGCTCCCCTTTTCATCCCCCCACACATACATTTAACTCACGGTGCCAACAGGCACTGGATAAGGAACAACACAGCATGAACTCTGAACTGAAACAAACAACACTAACATAACCCTGAACAAAATAACCCCCAAAACACCACAAGCGGAATAAACAAACCCAATTTACCCTCCCCCCAGAGTGCAATGCGGCCTTGCCGGCCTATCAGTGGCAGGGCCGCCACAATATATATGTATATATGAACTAATCTAGGTGAACTACATTGTACCAAATCTATCTGAACACCTCCCGGTGGAGGGTAACTCTGAAGTGCCTTTTTTCCCCCTCCACCTCATGTAACCCTCTGATCTCTATTAAGTTAGCGCGACTCGGGTTGCAAATGACCACAGTCACCAATTTTTGTCATGTGTCTTGCCCATGTATGTCTGATCTCTGAATTGTGTGTACTGAAACCCTCTGGGATTAATAAAGTATTGATTGATTGATATGTATGAACTATTCTAGGTGAACTACCTTGTATGTGTGTGTGTGTGTGTGTGTGTGTGTGTGTGTGTGTGTGTATTTATATACACATATATGTGTGTGTGTGTGAATATATGAATATGAATATGAACTAATCTATGTTTCTCCTAACCAAGGTTGTTCAAAGATCAATCAGATCTGAACAACCCATTGAGAACGATTCCTACAACCAGCATCACTGAAACCAATGAACTGATATACACTTCAGCAGCAGTGATCCTTGAAGCTTGGCTATAAGTGCAAGAGCAACCATGAGAAACAATGCCCACCAAGGAAGAGATGGTTGGAGGCCAAAATCAAGGCAGCACGGAAAGAAGTGAGCCAAATGTCAGAGCTCCAGAAAGGTACAATGAGAAAGCCAGGACCCAAGAGCTACAGACAGAAACCCATACCTGAAGTATTGGAAACTGCCAAACAAAGGCTCCAAGCCTTGGCCAGCCGCCTAAAGAGATACACGAGAGGGAAAAAGTCACAGGCATGAAAAATTGGACAGCACCAGGACCTGACATGATCCACGTCTACTGGCTCAAGAAGCTCACTGCACTCTATGAGCGCCTGGCAGCACAAATGAACCAGCTGCTAAAGGATGGGACCCTGAATGGCTAACTGAAGGGCACACAATCCTCATCATGAAGGACCCTTCCAAGGGTACAGTCCCATCCAACTATCAGCCAATAACCTGTCTGTCCACAACATGGATGCTCATGTCAGGTATCATAGCGACTAAGATAAGTGGGCACATGGATCAATACATGAGCACAGAACAGAAGGGCATCGGCAGAGATACCAGAGGAGCCAAACACCAACTGCTGGTCGACCGAACAATCACCCAAGACCGCAAAGCTCGACACACCAACCTGTGTACGGCTTGGGTTGACTCAATGCCGCACTCATGGATCATTGAATTCTTGGAGCTGTACAACATCAACATTTAATTACTATAAAACAAAATCCCCATGCTGAGTTAGAAGTTGTTTAAGGACACTTTATAAATGGACCATGTTGTGACTAGTACTGCTTACATCTGGCCTGGTCTGATGCATGGGCGGGGCAAAAAACACGCGGAAAGGTCTGTGGTGCCTCTCTTAAATTAAACTAAGGTGGCCGTGAGCAGAGTTGCTTTTGCAGACTCCGATGTTGCATCCAGACTGCTGTTTGTCCTCTCACAGGGCAGCTCAAGCCTCGACAACGCTGTGTGTGTGCTCCTCACAGCACATCTCAGTGAGAGAGACAGACGGCCTCAGTCAGAGGAGGTGTTGGCTGCTTTCACATCAGGGCCGTTTACTCCACAGTATCCAGAATGATAATGAATCGTGCATGCAGGAAGCCTCTGCTGGCTGATCCTAACCACCAATCGGAGGCTTCCCCTAATGGTAGGCGTCAATAGGGAGGCTAGGTCTATTTCCGCATCATGGCTCCCCGGAAGAATGTAAAAACGTATGCAAGTCAACGCGGCTAAGAACGCTAGTTTCTAATCCGCTTTGCCTGGATCGCACATACATAGTACTGCACTTTAAATGAAAAGTGATGGGTGTTTATGACCACGCCAGTCACGTACTTTGAGATTTATTAGCTTGTAAAAGTTCGTAAATAGCATGACTACAAACTAGAAATCGGCACGTCGCGCATGTGACGTTACCACATAATCTCCTCTCCCCAAAAGTAGCTGCTCCTTACCACATGACCATATTTATGGCGGTTCTTCCCTCCCGTGGGAAGTTTGCTGAACTTACTGTACATCCCTTTTCCCTCAGTTTTCTCCGTGTCTGGTTCGATGGCATCACTTCTGTGAAACGCATTTGTAGTCTTGGGACTTATTTTCACACAAAACCTAAAATTACATTTTGCCCCGTTTGAAAACAAGCACGTTCTTGGTGTCAAAATGCTTCTTTAAAATTCACGGACATCATATGTGAAATCCGTGGCACAAAACAAGCAGAATTAGAAAATAGCATTATTAGTCCCGTTGACTTGTGTTCATTTTTTCGTTCTTCCAGGGACCCGTGATGCGGAAGTAGGTGGGCGTGGCTTAGGCTCCCTATTTGAGTCGGCCAGTCAGTTGGCAGTGGGTGTGTTGGGACAGTTCAGCCCGAAGCAGACCGCCTTTGGAAGAGAGCTGAAAAAAACGACAGGTTGAGCACAAAAAGAAAACAGGCTTAGAGCCGGTCCTGATGTGAAAGCGGCTTAATTAGCTCACACCTTTAATCACAAATCATCTGTTTCTCCCAACTAAGGGCATTCATTGAGCTATCTACAACTTGTAAGAAACAAATACATTTTCTTTGAACCCAACTCCATAAGATGTGAACTATGACTTTCAGTGTCTAAGTTGAATGTTCTGAGGCGACTGCACCATCAGCTTGCCATCTCTAATCCAAGCGGAAATAAGAAGCTTAAGGCTCATCCACTTTCTCTTTAGCTCCCCACCCACAAGCACGGCATTTGCAGGGTGACGCTCTAGAGATCCAGCACCACACGTTTAAACTCGATCATTTCTTTGTCACAAGTACACCAATAAGAGGCATGTTTAGGCACAGAATTGGGCTTATTGTGGACTCACAACTGGATGTAATCTACAGTGTGGATATCAATCCCTCTGTTCAATCACACAAGAAACAAACAAAAGCTGTTAAGTTAGAGGTCATTTATTGTTCTCTCTGGACTGTTTCCAGAGCAAGGCGCATGATATGCAATAAAAAAGGCATTAGTCAGCCCAACAGTCATAGTGAAGCATCGATCCACAGGCACTGTGCATGAGTGTAGCTGTCAGAGCGTACGGTCTGTTTTGAGTGGAGTGTGAGAACATCTGTATCAGTGTGCTGATGTAGTCACTTTTGTTCTTCCACCGCTTCCTGCAGGAGCTCCTCTGATGCAGAGGGCTTAGTAACCTCAGCTGCTGCGTGGTCTTTGTTTACAGCGGCCAGCAGGAAGTCTTCCACAGTTTGGCCCTGTGGTAGATGTAAGTCGCTCGAGCCATCCGTGAAGGGGTCGCGGTTGGGCGTCGCGTCCCAGTCCTGGTCTGAAGGCTGAGGTAGACTGGCTAACAGTTCCTGAACACAATACACACACCGAGTTAGAAATGTACCATTACAGCGTACTGTTAGCAAGGGCTGAACGATCTATCGATTTCTGAACAAAACCGTGATATCAGACAGCACTATTGCGTTTTTGTAAAAGCTTTTTTTGTCCTTCAGCACTCCTGATTCGCTACTTCCTGCAATAGCAGAAAGACATTTACTGTAATAACACTTTGCAGACTTGCAAATGCAAATTCTCTTCTTTCAAAAATTGTTAGAATAAGTTTGAAGGCACAAACCGCAAAGTTACGGTAAATCCAGGCGCCCTGCCTCGGTAAAACAATGCAGGGGAAACTGCACATGTTTCAGTTAATAAATACATTTGAAAGCAATTCTTAAATCAGAAATCTGGAGTTTTTTGGTCATAGGGCTCCGTCTAGGTAAGAGCCCCTCTCTATACCACCGTGATTACGGCTGGAAGCAACATGGCTAAAACAGGGTATGTGCAGGTTTAAAGAAGCCACATTTAAGACTTTTTAAGACCTTTTTTAAGACCACTTTGACCAAATTTACGCTATTTTTATCAATTAAATTTAAGCTATGATTTCCAGCTATTGCCTGGAACCGGTGCTAACCACGTCGCCAACGTGGGATTAGCCATCCAGTTACCATTAAACTTGCACTTCCCCATGGCGCAAGCTCCCACTAGCTTAACCAGCTAATGTGCTCATCTAAAAATAGCCCCCTTTCACAACCAGCTGAATGTGTACGGTTCCGCTTACGGCAACATCGTACACAAAAAATGCTGAACACTAACTAGAAATTCACGAAAATTTCATAGAAATAAAAGAATCTTGTTTATTGGGTCTTTGGTCATTTAAGACCTCTGGAAACTGGATTTAAGGATTATTTGTCATTTTTAAGGCCTTAAATCTGGAAAAGCCAATTTAAGACTTTTTAAGGACCTGCGGATATCCTGTAAACGAACTGAAATGCATCGTTTTAAAATTACTATTCTAATGTTGTTGTTTATTCATATACACATATTTAAAAAACTTACTAGCTGCAAGAAATTTCGCCAACCCTGCGTCAGTCTAGGTACTTCCTCAAACGTTTGCGTATGCTCTGTGACTGACATCTGTACATAAGCGAATGTCTAACGCTATTGGCTAATGCTGAGCAGCGCTCAATTCAAACTGCGTGGTGCTCTCCGGGACGAGGGGGCGGGGCTTAGACAAAATCGGATGTCTTGCCTACATTATATCACACTACAGGGTAAGACTATCACTTTTACGGATGTCTAAAATGTCATACATAATTCCAGGAAATGAAAAAAAAAAAAACAGATTGCTCCTTTAACCATTTTCCTCCGTGCGTTACTAGAGTAACAGCTGTTCATTATTTAATGGTATGATGTCATTTCCTGGCATGTTTTTAAATGTTACTCTACATTGTGAACACACACACACACACACACACACACACACACACACACACACACACACACACACACACACACACACCATTCGGTCCTTCCCTGAAACCGTTCAGCGCTACTGTTAGCTAACCAAACGGACCCGTTTGCCTTGTAAACACAACTCCGAGGGCACCTGTTGTCTCTCCAGGTCGTTGTCCCTCACAGCACTGAGCAGGCTCTTCGTGAAGTTTGCGAGCTCCTGGTATTTCTGTTTTTGGTTCTCTAGCTCGTTCTCTAAGAACTGCACCTCCTCGTGCTGAAACAGAATGATCTGATGTGAGTCCAGAGCCCGGGGGTGATGGGCTTTTGGTCATTTTTACACACACAGCAAGCTCGGTGTTTGATCAATTGGTGCGTTTCTACCTTGAATTCCAGCAGGTTCTGCATGTGCTCCAGGTCTGAAGCCACCAAGTTGCCGTCGTCTTCATCAGCTTCTTCATCCTCGTCAACTATTTCAATCTTCTGTCCAAAAAAAAAAAAACACAAATCAGAAAATCAATTCCTCCCATACGAAAATAAGGAAAGCCGTTGGTAGTGATGCAGGAGTAAACTAATGAACCGATGAGCTAATTTATTGCTTCAAGTGACTGCGGGGCTGATTATTAATCCAACTGATTGTTCTCTTCTAAAGTGCTTGTTAATTGAGGTTCCACGATGATTTAAAAAGGCATTAACATACCACATTATCGGCCAGTGGAGCGGCGGAGGGCACATACGCTTCATCATCTCCATCTCTGTGTTGTGAGTCCACGGTCCCATCTAGATTTGAGGACAGTGTGAATGTTTTCCTGCACAGTCTGTACAGAACAGCAAGTTCACGTGTGATGTCACAGCCGCCTCACCCTCAGACATGCACATGGACCCTCCGTCGTTCAAGTCATCCGAGAGTTCAGGCGTTCTGAGCGGTTCCCTGTCGGGGCTGAGGGCCACTGGGGACTGGTTACCAGGAGACGGGCTTGTGAATACAGCAGGGCCGCCTTTGGGAGGAGGGATTTCAATACCCATCAGACGGTACTTCCTCCGTCTGTTGCTGATCCAGGTCTGAGAAATCAGAAAAACACAAAGACAACCGTGTAAGAGAGAGTTCTGGTTTCTACCAAAGTTCCTTGTTAGATAATGATCTGGGCTCTCATTTATCAAACATGGCGTAGAATCCTTACTAAAGCCGTACTTAAGCTCAGCAAAAAAAAATTCACTTCCGCCAAGCAGGTGTGTGATCTATCAAACATGGAGTACACACAGCTGCACGCAATCTCCGCTTCATAAATCAGAGACTAACAAGAATGTTTCTCAGCTGCATTTTAGTCACATCCCGCCCTCACCACGCCCACTTACTGCCATAAATAGTCAATACAAAGTGCCTTGTGGATCTCATGCATATACATAAGTCGGCTGTTGCAGCGCGCCGCCAATGGCGACCGTAGATCAAGGCAGCGCTATTTCACACAAGCAGAAGTTGAGGTACCTGTGGGTGAGGTGGAGGAAATGAAAGGAAGTGCTTTTGCAAAACAAATAAGAGAAAATCCACGGAGTGGCCCAGCGTTGCTGAAGCCGTCAATGTTGTGAATTCTTCAGAGAGATCTGTGGCGGATATAAATACATGGTCCAATCGGGACTCGATCCCCAGACTCCCAGGTGAAAGTCACGTGTGCTACCCAGTCACCCAAACAGAGATCTCCCCTGTTCCAGTAGCCAGGGCGCATCATCAATCGGGTCACAGTGACAGGACACACACACTGTCACAGACGCATGATATTCTGTCTCAATCTGCCCCCCTGCTGATATTCTGCATTCCGTATTCTGCGCTTCAGGCTGTGTGTGTGTGTGTGTGTGTGTGCATGTGTGTGTGTGAGTGAGTGTGCACGCATGTGTGTGTGTGTGTGTGTGTGTGTGCATGTGTGTGTGTGAGTGAGTGTGCACGCATATGTGTGTTTGTGTGTATGTGTGTGTGTGCATATGTGTGTGTGTGAGTGTGCACGCATGTGTGTGTGAGTGTGCACGCATATTGTGCGTGCATGTGTGTGTGTGTGAGTGTGCGTGCATGTGTGTGTGTACGCGTGCGTGTGTGTGTGTGGGGGGGGGGTCTTGTTCTGTGTGAAAACGAAGCGGTACAAGTGATAATGCTGCAGGATTTCATGATTGTATCTTCTCAGCAGCAGCGCTGCAGGTGCTCTCCATGTCCAGCATGTGCATAAGCCAGGTCCTCAGTCAGCTTAAAGTTGCGCACATTTTTCCGCTAAGTTTTCTTTCATAAATCCCAATTTTCGTGGAAAGTTGCTTACGCAGTTTTCCGACCCCGTTTCGTGCGTAAGCAAGCTTGATGAGGCCCGAGATCTGTCTACAGCGGATGGCTTGTTATACTGTAAACTATTCTAGATTATGAGTGAGAAGGGAGGCAGTCGTGTGTGTGTGTGTGTGTGTGTGTGTGTGTGTGTGTGTGGTGGACTATACCGAGTCTACTGCAGCTCTGACATAAATCTGCATGACTTTTAAACAACTTTGTGTAAACATGTTAGAAAACGTCTGTGACCAAGAAAAGTTGTTCTTTCCAGTTTTCTCTAGGTTCTCCAGCATCCCTCTAAGACTTGAGGCTATCTCCAGACTGCCAGTCCACTCTGGCAGCCTGGAGACCAAAATAAGGGAAAAATAAAAGAGAACGCTTTTCAAACTGAACAAAATGCGATTAGAAATGGGTCTCTGATCTGATTTTGTCCAGCCAAACAAAGTCTATTGAGGCTTTAGGAGAGCCTCTAAGGAAGAAACATGCGTCGTGAATTGAGAAACATTGTTACGGACCTCCAGGCCGGCCGTTACCATAGCAACAAATGCCTTGGTGCCATCTATGTGTACAGGTCACTGCAAAAACCCTACTTCTTCTCCGAGTCTTTACCTTGACTATTTCAGTGTCTACGCTGAGTTGGTTAGCTGCAGCGGTGATCTTCTCTTTGCACACGGAGCCCAGGCTAGTCATGCCTCGGTCCCAGTAGCGCTTCAGCTGGACCAGATCCCCATCACTGAACTGGGTCCTGTCCTGCAGCTGGAAACAGAAAACCTCTGTTTGAAACAGACTTAAAGGTGTAGATTAATCATCGTATCAATACATTTGCAGTGGGCTCTAGTAGGTATGAATGCCTTGTAGGCAGAACTCGGGGTGCAAAAGCCCACAAAGCCCTGGCCCAGCAGGACCAAGGCTGCAGCGTCAGAGCTGCGCTTCAAACGGGAGGATTTGGAGTCTTATTTCCTGATATTTGGACATTTAGCCTCAGATTGGATAAAAGCAACACAACTCTTCCTTTAACTCTGTTTGCTCGGGGACGTGAATGTTTTCTCTCCACAAACAAGCCTGGAGGAGCTTCAGCCGTGTGTTTCAGTTGCTAATGCTAGCGGTTAGCTTCTGTTGAAAGAGACGTTCTCTGCTGATTCTAGACGGTAAAACAACAACAGCCTTTCCTGTCGTGAGTCAATGTGGGTCAGTCCAATTCAACGTGACACTGAGTGGTCAGGCTACCACAAAGGAATGCAGGAGACAGGTGTAAGAGGCCATTTTCATGTTCAGCCTGCGTTAAAAACTCAGAGGAACCAATTATAATCAGAAATCATCATTAAAAAAAATCATGTTTTTTTCGGTCAATAAGTGCCAGGACGCACCTGAACCCAGCTCTTAATACTCACGTAATGTGGCCAAGTGGTAACGAAAACACACACTTCAGAGTGCAAAAGACAAAAAGAATGAATGTTCTCATCCTCAAAAAATGTTTAGGATGTTATCAGACGGTTTCCTGGGACGGGGACTTTGACGATCTTAGTTCCACACAGAAATCGTTCCAAGTGGAAAACATTCAGGGGAATCCCAAGCTTTCCCAGGAATGGATGTCCAAGTAAGTTCCTCCTGAGATCCCAATTCAAAAATGATTCCAAAAACAGACCTTAAGTGTTGTTAAGTGTTGGGATAGATTGCATTACAGGTTGTAGGTGTTAGCATAGCAAAAGGCTAGCAAAATCTGAATAAAGAACAAGATTTTTACTTCCTTAGAGCCGGGTGGACAAACTGTTGAAACGACTCCAATATTTGTTTAGTTGGTATTTGTAACCTGTCCTTTTCTGACAGAGTAGAGTTACTCCACTCCTCCTGCGCATCAGATGTTACCTTCTACACCGCTGGTGCCACCTGTCCTACGTGATGTCGTCCACGAGGAATTCTGTGGTTATTAAAGGCGTGAACATCAAAATCTGCAGCAAAGTGGAGCCTTTCTGGAGAATCCAGCGGCCAAAAAGAGATTTACTACTGTTCCTGCTAAAATAACTATTTCATACAGAATTGACAGAAATATAAAGGATTATAAGATGATTCTGCACGAAACGTACAAAATTATTGGGAATCTGAGCCATTTTAAGGCTGCTGGTCCTGACCAGAGGCGGTTCAGGAAGCTCTCTATGATGGCATCACTTTTAGAAAGAAACAAACTTAAAAAGGTCTGAAAAACACTGAATAGATTGAAAAGCTTTTATAATACACGACTTTGACGGATAACCTGTTGCACTTGTGGGACGAGTCTGATAAAAGGACTTACGGTTCTCTTCCTGGAGCTGCTCATAACCCAGGGGGCTGCAGACACATCAAGTGAAGTCTAAACAAACACACGGGAGTTAGTCCCCTTTTAGATCCCCGTGGGAATGCGTGGCACCACGATCAGAACCGGACCTACCTGTGAACTGGACTCCCCAGAAAGTGAGGTTTGTACTGTGAAGGAGTAGCTGCCCTGAAGTGTTGTGTTGCTGTGAAGTGTCGCGGGTCTGAATCCGGCCGTAGGAGGACTACGGCTTCCTCGGACAGCGGACGCCTCCGCCCCCATCGGGCTGACTAACACCTGCTCCCTGCGGATGTGTGTTTGAGCAGCCATGTTTGCCAGCTCTTCCTCCCTTTGCCACTCATCTGCTTCATTTCCAGTTTCCATGGCAATGGAGAGGTTCTGACCAGGGTCCGGAGGGCGAGGTGCCGGTCTGTGTGTTTCCTGGCTTCTCAGAGCAGAGGCCTGTCCAGGTCTGAGCCTGTCCCCTTCGGCCTTTTCCGACAAGCTGAAGACTTGCTGAATACGAGGCCTCTGCTCGGAGGGCGGGGCGGCGTTCTGGCTGGGGAGGGAGAGCCGAGGCTTCTGTGGAAGAGGAGGTTGGGGTTGAGGGTTGGAGTGAGGTCTGGGCTGAGGCTGAGCCTGGGATTGTGAGGAAGAAGGCCAAGGGCGGGTCTGCGCTGTACCGTACTGCCTAGTCCAGCTGTGAGGTACCGCCCCCGCTCCAGCACTCGCCACCCCCTCCCCAGGAGATAAAGTGCCCTTCCTGACAGCGGTGTCGACTAAAGGTCCTGAGACAGACATGAGGGACGGGAGAGTCTGAGAGAGGGACGCTGACTTGGACTGGCTCGGTGAGGACGTGGAAGGAGTCCTGCTCTGCAGCACCTGGTTGATCAGAGGCGAAGACGTGTGAGCCGAAAGCTCGAGGTCTGACTGAGCCGAGGGGGCTGCGGGTCTCGGTCGAGTCCGCGGGACAGAGTTCAGGGAGTAGATCCCGGTCAGTATTACATCGCTGTTATTATTGTTATTGTTGCTGCCACTGCTGAGGGAGGAAGAGGACGAAGGAGAGGAAGATGATGACGAGAAAGAAGGGAAAGATGAAGGAGGAATAAGGTGTCCACGGTTCTGAATGCTTCGAGCTGCAGCTATGTCCGAGGGAAGCAGCGCTCCGGTCGCCGGGCTGTGATTGGACAGCGTGCTCCCGGCCAGCGGAGGACCGGACAGAAAGCCCCCCGGACCGCCGTGACTGTGCAGGGAATGAGACACACTTCCGTTCTGCTCAACCTTAGAGGCCAGTTTTCGTCTTTTGTTGCCAACCCATGTCTGCGGGAAGAAAAAGGCAATCAGCTCACAATCACCCATTCTTACAAAACCACAAAACAACACGGCGCAGCCCACCCCCTACCCGGACCACACTGAAGTCCAGCTTGGCCTCCTGAGCACACTGCAGTATGAGCTGGAAGCAAGCCTTGCTCTGATTGGTCATCCCGTTGTCGTAGTAGCGCTCCAGAATCCTCTGCTGCTCAGCCGTGAACACCGACCGAAGATTCATCTGAGGTACGATCAGAGAGTCAAACATTCCTCATGTAAAGGTGAGAAGGACTTAGAGAAGGATCCGTCTCAAACGACAAGCTTTCGGTTTTTAGCCAAGACGTACCGATGCTGCCAGAATGTTTCATACACCTCCACACCAGCATCAATTTAGCACCATACCAATATTTTAGCAGCAATATTAAGACGACTCCGGACCCCTGGATGCACCGGAAGTGCTACATTTAGCTGTTGCTAACCCTTCATAGCCATGCGATGCTAGATCGATGGAAGTAAAAACAGAAAAATACACTTTCGTCTTGGCTACATCAAACTAGCTGTTAGCTCATCACTCCTGTCAGACGTAAACACTATTTCTCCACCCAGAGGCTGTTCAGGAAGCCATCTAGAATGAGTAACAGAGCTATTGTTTTTTACACAGAAACACATTTAAAAATGCCCAAAATATCGTTATCAATAACTCACAGTCTGCAGACTACGCCTCTGTGACCACACGTCCATTCTGCTACTGGAGGGGAAAGACGAAGCCATGTAGATCACAGCACCACCTCCATTTTCCTTGATCTGCTCTCCTTTGACTGTAGTCATCCTGCTTTAGTGTGACTCGCACACTTCTGGGTGACACAGCTCAGGAGATGGAGAACAGAAGAGTCTAATACAAACACAGGAGAGAGGGGCAGGGCTTTATGACAGAAAACAGAAATACACCGTTGCACTAAACATAACTGGAATGAGATGCATGGAAACGATTCTTCTGGACACACATTTAATCCGTGTTTTCATGTTCTAAGATGCAGAAAACACATTTCAAAGGGTTCCAAAAAAACTCATTTCAAGGTTTCCCAGCATCTAATAAACAATCATTCCACAAAGTTTAAGGTGGTGGCAAAATTATAAGTTTCAAAACTTTGAAAACACCTAGGGATGCACAATAAATCAGCATCAGTGTCGGCCGATGTTAGTCATTTTTTAACATATCAGTATCGGTCTGATGAGTAAAACTGGGCCGATATCATCTACCGATATTTTTTCCATCTCGTCTCTATTTGTTTGCCTGTTTCGGGGGGGGGGGGGGGGGGGGGGGGGGGGGGGGGGGGGGGGTGATGTGTGATTGTTTAGTCATGTGACAGTGATTATAATCATCTCAGAAGTGTAAATGTGTGTGGTGTGTGTGTACATAATAATGTAAATTCAGCTTTAATAGCTTTCATTCTATACAAAATTGCAGATTTTACAAGCATTAATGTCAGTTTATCGATTAGGGATGTGAATCTTAGAGCAACTCACGATTTGATTCGATTCTGATTCTTGGGGTGCCGATTCGATTCAGAATCGATTCTCAATTTAAATCGATTCACAATCAGTATTAACAAAGCGTGTCGGCTCCAGGATACTTTGTTGTACAAGTTAGTTAAAGCTATGGGACATTTTTATTAGACTTTAAACTGGTCATGCTCCAAAAATGCTAATTTACAATGTAAACTAAAGTGATTCTAAAACTGTAAACAGAAACAATCTTTTGACCAAAAGGCAACATTTATTTTTGCTTACCTTGTAAAATATAACAAATCTGTAGTTATACAGTAACTTAGAAAGTAATACGGTCAAATACTTTTCAAGTATGTGTAGAAACAAGTTACATGAGTAATCCTGAGTACTCATTTATAAACTTAGAAAATAAATATGAGAATATCTCAAATTTCTGGGTATGGAAAAAATGACATTCAAGTGCCCTCTTATCAGCAGATTCAAACATAAATCATCTCAGTTTATGGGAGCACAAATGTAATCTGAGTACTGGCTCTCCTAACAAAGATCAAAAACGTGCGTCTCAAACCTGTAACGTGCCAAATATTTGAGTTCTTGGAATCGATTCTGAACCTTTGTGAATCGATTCTGAATCTTTGAGAATCGATTCTGAATCTTTATAAATAAGAATCCCGATTCAGACTTGAATCGATTTTTTTCAGCACCTCTAATATCGATATCTGCAAATATCGGATATCGGCCCAAAAATGTCATATCGGTGCATCACTAGTGAGGGCTGATGATGTGTAATTGTAAATGATCAGCTCAAATGTTTGCTACACATAATGTATTCTGTCAATCAAACTTTTTTTTAACAAATCAAATAGAGCTTTTCACCCATTTGGCCAATTGGATGGGTTCTCATAGGTCAGATGCCCTCCCCCGAGGTGGACAGCGCTTAATTTTGATGGTTAGCGAACACCTGAGCTAGCTTTGTTCTGCTCTTTCTGCTGCTCCCGGGATCCACTGACTGCCTTTTCTTGTTCATTTTCTTTTCCCTTTCCTCACATCTCTTGCTTTTCTCGTTTTATGATTTTTTGTCAATTATTTATTTCTTTATTTTTGATTATTTTTGTTCCTGAGTTAAGTTTTGATTTATTGCAAGTAATATCGCCATCACAATATTAATCACTGTAATTGCAGATTTTCCTAATTTTGTGCAGCTCTAATTATGAATAATGCTCCATTTAATAAGTGTGGATATTTTTATTGCAGTTATTACATGCTTAATAACGTTTCCAAATGCTCGTTGTGCTTACAAAGTAGTGGCAATATTAATTTTAATTATAAATTACATGTGTAGGTGAACAGATCTGGCTCACTATTTCGCAAAAAATCTATTTTTTGTCTTTCTCACCCTTACATAAAGTGTAATAACCACTTAATAATAATTTATAACGTTAACAGATTAATTAATAACATATCACTAGCCAATTACAACAGGAGCCTCTCTGTAAAGTGATACCAATAACAATAACACCACCAGCAATACTACTACTACTACTACTAATATACTGCAAAGTACACAACACCATTTCTAAGTGACAAGACTATTTGCTTTGGTTGAGCTATGAACATAATTTGATACAACACCACACCAAATCTACCAGGACAACTGGTACAACTGGCTCGTTTGTTTCACTCGCGCACGTTTAGCCTGACATCAGCCGCTAGTGTTGGACGCAGAGAACACAGCTGCACGCAGGCAGGACACAATTCCACAGAAAACCGTAAAGGCCGGAGGGATTAAACCGTCTGCGTGGAGCTTTTGATAAGCAGTTACATACGGGCATGTTGTGCGACCAATAAGCACTCAGCGGGTTTATTTTGGAAGGCTTACTGCGCATGGCTACTGTCGATATGGAACACTGCAGCGAGCATTAGCAAACAAATAGCGGGCATGTTGATGGAGCTCTCCACTTTACCTGGTGCCCGCTGATTTGGAGTCATAATTTCCGTTAGAAGAAGCGTGAGCAGCACGCCCGGGAGCTAAACAGTGAACAAACCCGGGTAAGAGCCGCGCAGGTAGCCCGTTAGCTTGCAGGCCCGGGCGGCCATCATACCCCAACGTTAGCTAACATTAGCATAGCCTTCCCAGTGGATGGCCGCTGCTCAACTTTTCCTTCAAATCTGTGAATTCCCGAGCCCGGACGGATCTCCCCCCCGCACCGAGTCGCGCTGCGACTGGACCCAAACGAACACGTTAAGCGGCAGCCCTCGGTCAGAAGTCAAACCCCCTTCCTTCATTACCATTTTTGTTGTCAAAATCAGACGAACGTTCCAAATCAGCAGATTTCTTCCCCGTCCCCTCAGCTAGACAATGAAATCAGAACGTCCGATCATCAATTCTAATCATGATTGTGACGTATGCGCAGACAGGAGCCAATAAGAGCTGGAAATCATGACTGTGACATTCTGAGCGAGGCTGTGGTCCCGCCCACCGTTGACTCTGTTCGGCGAGTTGCTGGCGGGGGAGGTCACAGAGAGGAAGCAGGCTCTGGGAAATGTCCTGTTTCCTAAAGTGATGTCACTCTTTTTGGAATTCACACAGCTGTTCATTCCGAGTGTTAACGCATGCAAATAAAATAATAAATCAGTGTTATCATTTGACTAGGATTAGATTGTGAAATGTATGCTAGAACTTGATTTGGTAAGAATATAGAATTTTGTTATTGTTTAATAATTCTAAAGTTTTACTGAAGGATTGCAAACAACATGGTGAACAAAAACATGTAGTGAACTAATTGGTTGTTATTTTAGCTACTATGTCAGTATTTTTCACTTAACCTGACTGAAATGTCCATAAACACTGTCAGAATAAAAACTACACAGGCGGTTAAAAATAATTGCCTAAGTGATTGCTGTTTGTATCTTAATGTTCAGACTTGAACGTGATTCAAGCTTACATGATAAATAATCTTTGCTAGAGGCTGACCGATATATCGGCTGGCCGATGTACTCAATTTTTTTCTACATCGACCATCAGCCGAAATTATTTTTAAAAGCCGATTAAAATAAAAATCAGGCAAGTGGCCAAGTGCTGCCACTACCAGACTGAAGAAAGGACCTGAAGGACCCCAACACACTTAAAAAAAAGTTTTTTTTTAGTTTATTTTAAATTTGAAGTTCAACAAATATTAAGAGATTTATTGACTTGTTTAATTTATGTTGCACACAGTGAGTGTTCAGTTGTCTTTCACAATCAGTGTGCTGCTAAAACATATACCGGCCTTAATAATCGGCTTTAGATATCAGCCAGCGGCAACAAAATTCGTTTAAAATCGGCATCGGCCTTAAAAAAACCCATATTGGTCGGCCTCTAATCCTTGCACTCTGTAGTTGTTGAAAGAAAGATGAAGACTTTTTGTTGTAGTTATGATTACTTTATCTATCTATCTATCTATCTATCTATCCATCCACCCATTTTGTGAACCTGCTTGTCCATGTAGGGGCACGGGGGAGGGGGGGGGGCTATCCTATCTCCAGCGGTTGACGGGCAATCAGGCGGGGTACACCCTGGACAGAGTGCCAGTCCATCGCAGGGCAACACAGAGACACACAGGACAAACAATCATGCACACACACCTAAGGACAATTTAGACAGACCAATCAACCTAACAGTCATGTTTTTGGACGGTGGGAGGAAGCCGGAGAACCCGGAGAGAACCCACGCATGCACAGGGAGAACATGCTAACTCCATGCAGAAAGATCCCAGGCCGGGAAGCGAACCCAGGACCTTCTTGCTGCAAGACAACAGCTCTAACCACTGCACCACTGCACAGCTACACACACACACACACACACACACACACACACACACACACACACACACACACATATGTATATATATATATATATATATATATATATATATATATATATATATATATATATATATATATATATATAATATACTTTACTATTTTGATTACTTATATGTCCTTGATTGATAAAAGAGCGCATGTCTCATTGAAAATGAATGGAGGAGATGCGGCGTCGCCTCCCGTGTGTCAAACCCATAAGACCCACCTGGCCATTAGGGTCAACCTCCAGCAAAATGACAAGCAGATCAGACTCACTTTTATCAGTGGCAACAAATGTTTAAAACAACGTTTATGAATGGCAAACGTTTTTTAACCATTTATTACAAATCAGTAAATGCATTTTGTCCTCACAGGCTCCCGTATCTAATATGGCGTTGCCCAGAGAGTATTTTAGACACGATTTTTATGGTTATATGTTGCAAAGCTTCCAATATTTCTCAACAACTGGGTGTAATTTAATTCATTTTCAACAACATTTCAATGGATGTTTCCATAGATTAATGGTAAAAACCACACAATGTGCCTTTAACTAAAGATAAACATCTGAATATGCGAGGAACCTTTGGAATATTTAGTGATTGTAAATTCCCCCTAACAAAACCTTTCTTTCTTTCTTTCTTTCTTTCTTTCTTTCTTTCTTTCTTTCTTTCTTTCTTTCTTTCTTTCTTTCTTTCTTTCTTACAGCTGAAGCAGGCAGAAAGTTGATGCACACTGCAGTTTAACAGGGAAAGTCTGAGAAACTATTTATATTTACTTAAATATACTTAAATATTTATATTGTTCGAATGAATGAGATATAAGCTGAATGAACTGGAAAAAGTATATTTTTAAAAGACAGAGATAGATAACGTCAAAATTCTCTCTCTCAAAAAAGGAAAGAAAGACATCCGGTACAATACACAGACGAATAAATTACCCTGCCATTTTAATATAGATTATAGCATTTGTGTTGGAGTTGCGGGTTTTAATCCATGACGTCACCCGTGTTTTATCGCAGCGCAGCAGGGGGCGCTGTTTCCCTCAACTGTGCAGCCTCTCATCCGATGCTGATGTGCTCCAGAGGGTGAACTTCCATGCAGGAGAGAGAGAACAGATGACAGCTCACTGAGAGGTGGAAGCTGCTCACACAATCACTCACGTCGGACTGATTTATCTGTGGAAGCAGGAACGATTTGTGGTTTTCTCTCAAACTTCTTATTATCCAATAAAGAATTGTGGGGTTTGCCTAAATCCAGACCACAATCCCGCGCAGAGATCCTCCCTGCACGCTGCACCATTCCCTGAGTGGTGGCCCTCGTGATGCTGCAGCGACGCGGGCGGGGGAGTCCGAGGGGAGGGGTGAGGGGGGTTCGCTCCATCTCCTTGCGCCCACCGAATCCACTTATCACAGAGCGCGAGCTCCTGGCGGGAAGGCACGAGGAAACAAAGAGGGAGAGAGTGAGAGAGCGAGAGGAGGGAGAGAGAAAGAGAGCGGGTGTGTGCGCGTCTGTGCGTGCGTGTGGATTGCACCACCGCAACCCGTTCACCGTTTCTGCAGGCGACCGTACTCCGATGGAGGAAATAAACCCGAGAAGCGTTTCCTTTTCCGCAGATGTTCCCACCGCCCCCAGGTTCCAGATGTGACCGACGAGCCGCTCTGCGACACCCCGCTTCCAGTGCGCTCACCTCGGAGAGAACCGTGACACCATGGCTCTGGTCATGGAGCCTATCAGTAAATGGACACGAAAGCAGGTGCTGGACTGGATGAAGGGTAAGGCTGCATCTCTTCTCCGCTGCTGGTGTGCACACTCCTGGAATGATGATGACTATGGTGATGGGGGTGGGGGTGATGGTGGGGGAGCGCAGGGCCACACTCCGGGCATGTGTGCCCCTCTAACGTGAGCTTTTAGATGGATGTCACCCTGATTTCAGTCACATCTCCCGGATGAGGGGGTTCACCTCACACATCATCATCATCTTCTTCTTCTTCTTCATCACCAGTAGCTTTCATCCATGAATGAGGAAGACGTGTCACCCTCACTGGCTGTGGCACATGCCTCCCAGCGCATATGTGTGTGCACGCACGCACATGATTAATGTAGTTCATGCGCCCCTCTCCTCTCCTTCCTCCCGCTGCACAGTCACTTTCAGCACCATGGACAGCGCAGTGCAGCCTGCTGCTGATCGCAGCCCTCTTTTTACCATAAATACATGAATATTTATTTATTTATTTATTTATTTATTTATTTATTTATGTATGTATGTTGGTGGTTGCTCGCTTTGCAGGCAAGGATACCTCAGATAGACGATGTGAATGAGTAATCACTATTGCTGTGTGTGTGTGTGTGTGTGTGTGTGTGTGTGTGTGTGTGTGTGTGTGTGTGTGTGTGTGTGTGTGTGTGTGTGTGTGTGTTTGGTGCTGTTCTCACACACTTGGTCATCCACGAAGCTGTGAGTGAAACTGTGGCAGGCCTCGTTGATGGACAACGCTGTCCTGAGTCCGTTACTTAAAGACTGTGGCCTAATCACTAGTTGCCTGATGACTCAGACTAGAAATATATTTAGATATGCCATTTAAATGGATCTACTTTTGTTTTATATGTTGACACCTTAAATGGACACAAAAAATTTAGGGTTTGAGAAGCAGTTCCTCTGGTCTGTCTCACATGCTCATTTAAATAAAAAGGAAAATAATCAGATTTAAATGCCAGCCTAGATTAGAAATTATTCTTCATTTTATTATTACCAACATCCCACAGAGTAGTTTGGTATAAACAAACTATTGGCAATGTTAAATTGGCTTAATGTGATGTCTGCTTAAGGACTGCTTCGGTATCATTTAGGCCATCTATCGTGGGAAGTTTATATGCAGGTTATCAACAAACATTTCATTGTCTAGCAGAAACATTAAAATAAGAATGAAACAGTAAGAATGGTTTGCTGTAGATCACACTTCAAATCAATAATGTTAGCAAATGTGTTATTTGCCTGTTTCCACTGCCATCACTAGGAAAAGAAAATTCAGTTTTTGCAGTTTTTTATCAGTTTAAGAGAAGGGATGCTATAAAATTATGTAAAGTGACAATTATGTGAATCATGCATAGCAATAATGTAAAGTAATTACGCCATTCATCCATCCATCCATTTTCGGCCGCTTATCTGGGGTCGTGTCGTGGGGGCAGCAGCCTCAACAGAAAGGCCCAGACTTCCCGCTCCCCAGCCACTTGGGACAGCTCTTCCGGGGGATTCCCAAGGTGTTCCCTGGCCAGCCGAGAGACATAGTCCCTCTAATATGTCCTGAGTCTTCCTTTAGGTCTCCTCCCAGTTGCACATGCTTGGAAAACCTCACCAGGGAGGCATCCTAACTAGATGCTGGAGCCACCTCAACTGGTTCCTCTCACTGTGGAGGAGCAGCGGGTCTACTCCGAGCCCCTCTTAGATCACCGGGCTTCTCACCCTATCTCTAAGGGGGAGCCAAGACACCCTGCAGGGAAAACTCACTTGTAATCACGATCTCGTTCTTCTGGTCACTACCCAAAGCTCATGACCATAGGTGAGGGTAGGAACGTAGATCGACCGGTAAATCGAGAGCTTCGCCTTCTGACTCAGCTCTCTCTTCACCACGACAGACCGGTACAACGCCTGCATCACTGCAGATGCAGCACCAATCCGCCTATATCGATCTCACGCTCCACCTTTCCCTCACTCGTGAACAAGACCCTGAGATACTTGAACTCCTCCACTTGGGGCAGGACCTCACCCCTGACCCGGAGAAGGCATTCTACCCTTTTCCGATTTAAGACCATGGTCTCAGATTCAGAGGAGCTGATTCTCATCCCAGCTGCTTCACAGTCAGCTGCGAGTCGCTCCAGCGAAAGCTGAAGATCACGTTCTGATGAAGCCAACAGGACCACATCATCTGCAAAAAGCAGAGACCTGATCCTCAGGCCACCAAAACGGATCCCCTCCACACCTTTGCTGCACCTAGAAATCCTGTCCATAAAGGTTATGAACAGAATCGGTGACAAAGGCCAGCCTTGGTGGAGTCCAACCCTCAATGAGAATGAGGCAACATACTGGCGGCAATGCGGACCAAGCTCTGATACCAGTCATATAAGGACCTGGTACTTTATACTACCAAAGTACCCATCCGGGAGCTGAATATTGTACATTTTTAAACTCACTGTACACACTATAAAAATAGCTTCTCTAAGGTTTAGAAAATCCCTGAACATTTGTCCAAATTTGAAATACCCCCCAAAAGAGAAAGCATTTATCTAGATTCATAGTCTTCTAAGTCAGGAGCATCTTTAAAGCTTTGTTGGAAACAAATTTACGGATTCATTTTCCTCCAAGAACAACAAGAAAGTCCAGTTGTTTCCAACAGAACCTTCAAGACACCAACAAGGAAGGATTTATTGAACTTCCTGCATCTTCTTGCTGTTTCTTTTTAATTGTGCCCACTTTCATGACCCCTTCAACATGACATATACGGTCTTTTCCATGTAGAAGTCTCACATCTTCATTTAATCCCAGCCTATTTGTTAAAGTCAAATTATAATCTATCACCTGACCTGACAGGAATCTAACTTTAGTGTCTTTGCTTGAAGAGTTGAATTCAAGCTGCACAGAGAAGCGACTTCATGAGCGTTAATCAGTTTCCCTCTGGGATTAATAAAGTCTTTTTGAATTGAATTGAAATGAATTGTTTCCAGATGATTTAGTTGTTGATTTTACAGATTTTTAAATGATCACAACCCTGTGTGTGTGTGTGTTTAGAAAAACTATCATGATTCAATGGTCTGATTTGAATGAAACTCTAGGAACTGATTGGAGTCAACCCAATTCAAGACGACATCCACAGTTAAAAGACAACCACAAACTGCTATAACTCCTAATTCACAGATCCTGAGTTAGAATCCATTTGAAAGTAGCTGTTCATCACTCAGGATTCTCTCAGAGCACAACATTTTTGTTGAAATATTTTTTGACCACACATCTGGGTCAGCCCTAACGTGGCCTGCCAGACTCCTCCTCTGGGAGGGTCTGGGAACTCTCCTATTCAAATAGCCCCGCCCCCTGAGAATTCTAACTGAGCCAATCAGCACTGAGCAGCAAACATCTGGTTACTCACAGGCAGAGAGGCACATGAGAGGTGGGACTGAAGGGGATCACAACACGCCCTATAGGTAATAAATAAATAAATAAATAAATAAATAAATAAATAAAATAAAAAATTGTAAGTCGCTTTGGGTAAAAGCGTCGGCTAAGCACATAAACAACAACTAACCAGCTCAAAAATAACCAATCAGAAAAAAGATGGAAATGCCGACTTTCCAGCGCGACGCTGTGGGTTTTTAGCTGTATTAAAAAAACAGCGCCTGGCGACAGCGCAAACATCTTTTATTTTTTTTAGAAGAAAGGCTTTTAGCGCTTCTACTTGTCGTGGTTTTAAAGACATTCAGGTTATTTAGAACAGAGGAAAGAGCCGCAGCGAACTCCACTTCAGTCGCCATGTTCGACAAAGTCGGCGTTGTGGTGTGTGACGTACGCTGCTCAGCACTGATTGGCTCGGTTAGAATTCTCAGGGGGTGGGGTTATTTGAATAGGAGAGTTCCCAGACTCTTTATCTGTGCAGAATTAAACAGAGGAGGAGTCTGGCGGGCCAGGCTAGGTCAGCCCTGTTAGGTTTTGATAGAAAAGGTGCATTTTTTAGGTCTCACATCATCACCCCCTTTAGATAACCCTCCCACTGTCCTAATGGGGGTGACCCCTTCAATCCTGCTCAGTGGTCAACTTTCCTTGCAGGGTCACCCATGAAGACAGTGGGAGGGTTAAACATTTTAAAACTCATATTTAAACTTATTTTAAAGGGGGAGCAATGCTGGTTGGGGCATTATAGATGTTACCATAAATTAAAACAGACAAGATGTACTTGTTAGGACACATTTTATGACTTTTTTTCTTAAATGATATTTTTGTGGTTGATACAAAACATGTTCATTAAATTCTTTGCACTAAATACCTCTCACATAAAACAGTTTCAGTACCTTCCAGAATGAGCCGTTTCAGGGCCCTATCACTTTAAGAAAAGAAGCTGGAGCTGGCCACGCCCACCCATTCACCGCCCAAGCTGCTATAAGCTGAGAAGCTCTGACACCCAGGAAGGGCCCAGAGTAGAGCTTCTATTCCTTTGCCAGCAGCTCTTTCATGCACATGAGAGTTGCTTGTGTTTCCCTGCTTGTGACATCACAAAAAGGGATTTTTTAAAACGGCTTGTTTTAGGCACATAATTCCTAAAACCAAACACTGAAAGAAAAAAGATGGATGGATTTTTTTTCATGTTTGGAGAGTTTATAGAGACAGTAGAGTCCCACATGGCTTAATTAGCACATGTCCCCTTAAGCAAAAGTTAAGAAAACAGTAACTGGTTTTGTAGCAGTTACAAGCAAACTAGATGTAACGAGTCTTGTGAGTTAGAGCTGCATTCTTACAGCAAATCATCCTTCACCAGCTGAATAAAAACTAGCAGCATCCCAGGCACCTCAGTCGACAGCTGCTCTTTTACCTCGACAGCCCATCCTTGTCATATGAAAGAATGTCAGACAGAGAGCTGTGATCCTGGGTAGTCCTACTGAGAAAACCTGACACTGCTGGATGCCATGCAGACAAAGCAGGCTATACTATGGATCTCTGACTGCTGTAGAAAGACTGCTCCGACAGCGAAACAGTGGTGAGGCTCACAGAAAGATGACTCATCAGCAGTTGTTA